GTCTTACTCCTATTACGTGCATTGCAAACAACATCATAATAATTCATTCGCTATAGCTTTTTATGAAAAGTTTCCTGTTTTTTTTTCTTAAGCACCTAATATATAATACCTGAAAAAATGCTTAGAAATGTTAAAAACTTTAATTACAAAAGTAAGAAAGCTTAACATCATTAAAGCAATAGAATTCCTTTGAAACGTGCTATAGTCGATCAATAGATTAGTTTACTATTAGATAGAGAACTAAAATAATTCATACAGAATTCAGAAGATATATTCGACGAAATCTCGTTTTCAATTGTCCAATATTTTCATTGATTTCGTGACAAACTGCCGCATAGCCGATTATACATAACAGCCGTGATCATTAGACCGATGCTTGCCAGCTCAAATCGCTCTACAGTTTAATCATAGTTGATCGTACCTTTAGCGAATACTCATTTAGTGAAGACATAATCCTTATTGATTGAATACACATACACTAGGTTGCACCCATTCGTTGTCACTTTGTCCACTTATTCGTGCCTATTACCGTGCTGCACGTACACTCAGACGAAAAAGTGAACAATCGACATTCCCCGCAATATTTTGTTCAATCTTTGTTCTTTTGTATCCTATCCTCTTTATATCGAATTATTAGTATTAGGAAGATTTTGGAACGATTCTAAAATTGATTAAAAATAAAGTTAAAACAAAATCTTCAAATAACTCAGGAAGTTGACCAAGTCATCAGAAATTGCATATCATGGAACAGATGCAAAATCTCCGTATTTTTAAGTTCAAATGCATACTACGTTTATGTTCACGTTAAGGTCAATGTTCGCAATGTCTTAAAGCCAGTTCTGGCTACACCAACTATTTCGCAAGGAGGTAATAAATAATTTCAAAAATTCATTTCCTTCTCCATCTTCTTGTTATCGTCAAACCGACCAAACGTTTACGTGTTTACCGGAGACACGGCCTTCCGGCGCTACAGACCTCAACAGTCAGCATAATAGATCAGTACAGGCATCACGTTCCACTGTTAATCGCTTAACTGGCTACGCGTGATATCAAAAACTAAATCCGTATTGCCATAGGCATTAGATAGCGGATCAAAATAGTAAACTTTTCCTCAACCGACGGATGCAAGCAAGGTTCACTTTTACTTTTGACACATAGCGTGACTTAATCGCAGTAGAATCGCAGCAATTGAAGAAATTGGAACCTATCTATAGTAAGCTGTAATAGTCGATTCACACTCGAACACTTCTGTCAGCGTTTGCGTACAACAACAAGTGTTTTATTAACAATAGATAAATGGAGAAATTCGTAGTCAAGATACGTTAACGACTATTCCAATATTCGATTTGCGTTTGATGTCGCATCTATCATATTTTATCTTTATCTTTATCCTAATTTTTTAATTATCTATTAATTCAAGCAATTTTTTGTTTAGTCATTAAAAAAACTTTATTTCACCTTTTAATAAACCTTACTGCATTCTTCACTATTACGGCGACTTCAGATATATTCGAAATTAAAAAAACCCGACAGAACGAATTGTGCGTGTGTTTAGGCATAACCAATATTTATAAATATGTAGTTATTTTAATAAAATTCAATAATTATTTAATAAATCAAAAATTAAATGTTTTAATAATAATACTTGAAGCATTTTTTCACACTTATTTTCGCACATTTCATGCAATTTCCATGTAAAATAAATTGCTTTTGTGCACGTATAAACAAATTATGCCCAAGTGTGTTACAATTATCCAATTTTTTGGCGAAAAATTATGCAAATTTGCATAATATGCGAGAAATGTATACCAAAAATGGTGTTCAAAAAAAAAAAAAAAAAAAAAAAAAAAATTGATGAAAACCAATTATAATGAAGACAATTTAATTTTTGATAAATTTCAAACCCTTTGAAAAATTTAAATTAAATTAAATAACTCGGATGTAAACGTAAGCACTTATCTGTTTTTCATGGATGAAAAAATGTTTTCGTTTTTAAATTAACGATAACACATATTTCGTGCACAGTATTTTCTAACCTTAACTGAGCGGTAATTTGTATATAAAATTGCCTCAGAAGTGACTAGAAAACTATCCGCACAGAAAGTATCATCGTAAACATGGAACCACTCACCGCTCAGGCAGATAAGGAACCATGCGGTTAAACTGATGGTTTATTCTTTTAATCTGAAAATAAATATTTCCTTTCTCTGAGTAGTATGGAGTAAATCGAAATGATTACGGATGAACGTATATCGCAATACGAGGCTGAACTTTGTGCCAACAATTTTTTTCTCTCTCTAATACTTGCGTCAACGCGTTCAATCATTTTCCGTAGTCTTCCATAACGAAAATCTCGTTAGATTACAGGTTAGAATAGTTCACAAAACATAACTATCTGCATTTACCAAATCCAGAATGCTTCCTCGTTTTCCGAAATCATTTAGCTTTGATGGCGATGGGTATGGCTGATTTGCGTCAACAAAGAATGATTTGCGGCTTGGATATCCGAAAAGAAAATCATTTTTAATCGTCCGTGGCGGCGTGAATATATCAAAAATTTCGCGCTGCCGATCGAACGGAAATTACATGAATAGGACAAGCTAAACCAATTCATAAAATGATTTTGACTCGAAACGGTATGATAATCTGATCTTAAGTTGTTTTAAATGTTACATACATCACACGAGAAAAGTTGGTCAATCTTGTACCACAACCGATGTAGGGTATAATAGATAAGAGCTCAATTTTGTGCGCATGATCACAGCCAACATAAGATGTATTCTTGTTTTTTTACGCCATGCCGGCAATTAACTTGCTAGCGATGTTTCAACTTTCATCCATTGGTTGTGATTTCATTAACGAAAACACTTACTGCTAATGCGTTTTCTTCGGTTTACTTAGACTCATGTTATATAACTTTACTGCGCAGTCGGATGAGTTTAGCAAAGACAATTCAAAATCGATTTCAGTACCCGACAGTTTCAAGGCCATATACGAATTGATAACCCAAGACAATTAGTTAGTTATGTTGACTCATTGTGAGGTTATATTATAATTAAATTTGTATAATTATTTAGCCATGAGAGGCCGTAGAGTTTGCGTATGCCTTGAATCGCGCATAATTTAATTGCTTAGCGTGAAACATCAATGAAATGTGATGCCGGCACACTAACCTATCTAACAATTACAAAATAATTGACAAAAGTCAAAATAACCGCGTGTGGCATTGATTTCCCATCAAATGACACAAATATGAAATAATGTAGTGCTTCCACTATCACTTGAGAATGCACACTTGAGAACAGCTTGCTTGAGTGTGTTAATGACAGGGACGACCTATAAATCTGTGGCACTCTTAAAATAAATAAATACTTGACATATTTTAACTACAGAATGAATATAATCAGCATTACCGAAAGTTTTTTTAAAAATCGGATCTGAACTTTAATAAAATAACAATAAAAGTCATTCGCTTTTAATTGGTAGGCATTTTATATGGACTATAAATACAAATAGAATGTGACTGTAAAAGAGATAACTCGAATATCTGACGTTACTTGGATTAATTATGATAACGTATGGCTTAGAAAAGTGTACACTTACCGTGCACGAGGGAGCTTCGTTCATTTGCTTCTAATCGATACAGCTTTTGCAATTTCTATATATATATTATATAACAAGAAACTTACACACACACACACACACATATATATATAAAAAAGACGGGTGCAATGACATTAACTACACATTTGTGGCAAAATCGATGCTCGGCTTAAGCTATGGGGACGACATGCTCATTTGGACAGCTTCTTGTAACACAATTGTGCGAACTAAAATATATTCTATTATATAATTCATTCCCTAATGTACTTGTTTTTGTAATTGCGAATAACTCTTTCGAGGGTTTGAGCTGATGTTGAGCAATTTAAGGCCATTATTTACAACAACAACAACAACAACAACAACAACAACAACAACAAATAAAAAAAAAAGTTAATCTTTCTCCTTTTGCTAGATTTGAATGAACCCATGAACCTCACTTACGAGATCAGTGTTAACAGAGCAACTACAGACAACTCGGAATCCAAGTGATGAATTTTATTTAGCATATAGGAAACAGTTTATATTATTTTATATTCGCTTCCGCAAGAATATGAGAGTCCATTTCACCAAAAGCTATTGCGTGATTCTGAATTTCGAAAACCTTTTGCAAACGAGAAGATAAAAATGCATACATTTTGCTGCTTATCGTGACAATGCGAGCGTTTACAGCTCGGAAAAAACAAGTACTCAAAATGTCGAATTGATCAGTCACTTGCTCATAGTTGTACAAATTCACTAGTTAGTCGAATATACATCATGAGAACTGATATCAACTTCAAGAGATGACAATTATATTAAGCCCTGGACTTTTTCCCGAAAAACCAGGTGAACTGTTCACAAAGTATAACTTATCGGTTGATTAATAGTATTCGCGATCCGATAAAATAAAGGAAAGAAACTATATCCTTTAAAATTCCATAACCAGACTTTAAATTAATTAATGGTGAATTTATTTTTTAAAAACCAAAAGCTTTCCTTCATTTTATGTTGTTTAGCGGTGTCATTATATCAAGAAAGCAATTTACGTAAAAATAACTAATTTATGATATCGTCTCATTTTCACGTCCGATAAATACTCGCTATAGGGGACAATTATCGATGGCAAAAAAAAAAATAAATAAAATAAAAATTTAATTAATAATCCGTTCATTTGTTTATCAAGTGTCGAAATGTAAGTCAAATTGTTTTTTATTATTCATATACATTCTTTATTTATAAATTATTTGGTAAATTAATGATAAACTTAAGCAACTACCAGCATCACATAAATGGCACAAAACTATATATCTTCTTATATATATATATATATATATATATATATATATATATATTTCTCTTCTCTTAAACTTAAAATTTGATTCTCTTATTATGTAAAACTATGCTATAAATAATAATATATATTATTATATAATTTATTTAATTATAACCGATGATGCTTGCCCTGGTCTATAACTTCTACGGCTACCGTTTTGCAGCAAACTGCTCGAATGTAATGTATGCCTTTGATGTTGATAACGATAACCAGTTATTAGCTCTCGTACAGTTTTACGATATTTATCCGAGAGTACGCAATATAAAAAGAAATTTGCTGCGGCATTTAGGGCGGCCAAAAAATTGAATATATTACCAATAATTATACGTAAATTAATATCAATTTCCATTTGCTCGGAAACAATCAGATATATGGCCCATGGCAATTGGCAAACAATGAATAGTAGAACAACAGCAATTAATGTAACTGTAACTCGATTTTCCTGAGACACTGATGATAAATTCGTCTTGCGCTTTAATATGAAATGATAAGCAAGCAAGTTCAAGTGTCTCAACTAGCCTCAATATATGCAAGTATAATTCTTACCTTTGGTCGTCGCATGCTACTAGCGTTGGTCATTTCACCACGTACTGTTTTCGATTTACGTACTAACATGATGAGAAAACAATTGAAAGTAAGCAACATGCATAGCGGTATCAATACAAAGACAAGCAATGTAAAGAAATTCCAAATTTTCAAATAGATTTCATTATTACCCAGAGCAGAGGATATATGTTCATAGTATGTTGTCTAAGGAAAATAAAGAAAAGTCAATTTAAACACGAAACGGAAGAAAAAATTGAACTTTATAGCACTGTTTGTTTGCTTTAATGTGTACATTAGACGATAAAGCAAGCCAGCATAGACATACCGTCTTACTTACGTTTTGACAATATTCTGTGACATTATTAAATATGTAACTACTACTCTGGAGTCCTAAAGCATAGTTCTCTACTTGTGCAGCTTGAAACTTTCGAGATTGGTTTGTTTTGTCACTATTCTTATTATTGTTGTTGTTGTTGTTGTTGTTATTATTACTGTTGTTACTGTTGTTACTGTTGTTACTGTTGTTGTTATCCTTATACTGGGATATTTGAATCGGGCTTGTGTCAGTACTTTCTGCTACACTCGCAGACACCGGCGCCAAGGCAGAGTAAGATGTGAAGGGTGAACTAGAAAATATACCATTTCTATTACGACTGGTTAGATATTCAGCATCCATTAGTTGAGGAAAATTTTCAAGTGTATTTGTAGATAAATTTAATTGTGGAATGTTTGTTGAAATTAAAGATGTTTGTATGGTTACTGCTGTTGCCATTGCTTCTTCTCCTGCTTCTGTAACTAGACAAATACAGACATTAAATGAACTCAGTTTTTTGGAAAATCTCTTTTCTAGCTCTCTCTCTCTCTCTCTCTCTCTCTCTCTCTCCGTGCTCTTTTTTTTAATTTCTCTATAGACTTAAGGAGTTTCAAAATTTGCTATGATTACTTATAATTGTTATATTCTTAAGATATTGAATGAAATAAGAATATAAGACTAAATATACAAATTTTACGCAAAATAAATTTTTAAAATTATATAACAAATCTCGCTGCATATCCTAGTCGCGAACATTATCTGTTTAACTTTTGCAATTTCATTTTTATAAAATCAAATTTTTTAGCTTTCCATAGCAGTATATTACAAGACCCCATAATCCTTTGATATCTAGATTTCTAAAAAATGTCATTATTTTACTAGAAAAATAAATGATCATATAAATCGTCAAACAAATGAATGAATCGTTCGATGGGTAAATAAATGATGTAAAGAGATCAACGGATAAACAAACGAACTAGTCGATCTAAAATCAGGGAGCGAACGAAGGCACGAACCGGGCAAGCTGGCGGGGTAAACACTGCGATAAGAAAACGAACCGACCCACGTATAAGCAGATGAATAGAACGACTTATAGCAAATTGATAAATGGATGGAATAAAGTGAAGGAGAGAAACTCACGCATATAGAGGACGGATAAATAAAAGAATAGCCAGATATGTTAGCAGATAAATGGCATTTCAGGAATTTTACTTCACAATCCCACATCATTTGAGCTACAAGTGTGTATTAAGTTTATTGCGGGTGTATACAGCACCCAGAAGCATTTGGGATCGACTCAGCTTTTATTGTGACGATTCAAGCTTATCCGTCTGCCTATCTGTGTGTCTGTAAATCTGCCTGTCGGTCTAATGTATGTCGATGCGTTCTTCTGTTCAATTTATTGACTGCAATTTTTGATATATTTTGCTGAAAATAGTTTCGCGGACAAACGCTATTGAAAATAATACATATCGGGCCACTTCCCATATAACGCCTTATTTTGAAAAGCCATTATATGAATAACGGTATAAAGCGTAGTGATATAGGTTATTTAATGCGGGACCGTGGCCCATCATCAAAATTTTACTTGTTTTCACTTGCTCGTAGGGAGGAAAAAAACAAACTAGATCTAGGACAGGTAAGTGGGCAGCCCGTGAATGTTTTTATATGACATTGAAGAATTAATTACCCACGTCGAAATGAATGGCGTGTTCTTGCTCCCTGTTCCGTCCTGGGCACTGAGAAGAAGAAGAAGAAGCCTTCACGGCAGGGACCTACGTTAAATTTCTCACTCGGGATATCTCCACCACGCAGGCTAATGGAACATGGAAAAACCCATAAACGCATATAAATAGATTGGGATAATTTAATCGCATCGAATGCACTCGAACGTAATTAAGTTCATTCGTAATATATGCAAAGAATCGAAATTTATTATGATAAAAATAGCGATTAAACAGAATACGCTTCGATTTTGATATTTCGAATGTCTAATGATTTCTGTTGTGCTTGACAGGCTAAAGCAAAACGATTATATAATACGTTTTATTCGATTTTGCATTATATCATTATAACATTTAACATAATACTCAATGTAAATATTCCCCCTAGTATTTAAATTCATTGTAATAGATGTTAAATTGAATAAATATGAACCGCATGCTTGTCAATGCTTGTACGCGGGATAAGTTCAATTTAATTTCCTCTGCTTGTCATTGGGCAAATTTATTCTTCAATTACTTTTCTTTGGCTTACCTCCATTGACTGATGCTCGTTGTGGCATTGACCTTAACATTTCAGGTTGATTTGCTCTTACAGATTCCGGCACTTGAGCAGACAAGACATTAGCCGTTGCTGCGATAAAGTCATTATTACCACTACCGTCGACTTCCAACTCTTGTACGATATCATTTGGTAATGATGTATGCAACGGATTGAGTAAAGAAACAGTTTTCTTGGTATAGTTGCAGGCTTGGCCTCGACTATCAATCATTTTAAATTCGATGCTATATTCGTGTTCGAAGGCGGTAGATATTGTCGATAGTAGGCAAAACACAGCCACACCTGAAACCGTTCAGAATGCATTAGAACATATCAATTTTTTATTATTTATCTTTTCTCTATTACCTGTTATCACACGTTTGGCTAAAGATTCCGTACAGAATGTCTGACGTTTTAAAGGATAACGTATCGCTATAAAACGTTCTATGGTAAAACAAACCGCTATATATATGGATATATAAGCTAGAATTGGTAAACAGAGAAAGGTGTGATAAACACGCGTACACACACACACACACACACACACAAATGAATGAAATAAATATTTTATATTATTAAGATTTTTTTTATTTTTTATTTTTAATTCCACCTACCGCAGGCATCGCATAGCCACAATACGACACCGTAGAACAGCCAATACAGTTGGCAGCATTGATGCACGTACTGAGAGTGTTGCAGTGATAATAGCAAAGCCATTGTCAGATATATGAGATCCGTGATAGCCAAAGCGGTTAAATAAATGTTTGTTGTGCAACGCATACGTCTCCTTAAAATAGAAATGAATATAATTTTGCCCCCATTAAACGCATTAGGACACCATACATCCATACAGAAAAGTGCGCTCTTCTTCCGAGCGATAGAACGTCGGCAAAGTTTCATTTCGAAGCAATTATTTTCAATTATTTTTGCGCAAATTAACAGTAAATACGATTAAAACATTTCCATTAAGCAATAGAAAATAGACATTAGGAGACACACACCTTCACCATGAACGCACTCCCATTGAAGATTTCAATAGAAGTCGTACAGCAGATAACTAACTATTAACTAACATTTCTAACGAAACTCATACATAAACAAACAAATGTTTTCATTCCCTATCTACGCCATCTTCGACAACTTTTGCAACGACTTTAAAAATTAATAAATAAAAATTGATTGTATGTTAAAGGAATTCTTAAACGATTTTTACTATCAATGTAAATAATTTATCAATGCATACACACACACACACACACACACACGTATAATAAAATAATCAGATCGATATCTATAATACGAGGGTACTTGTATCCATTGATCACGGGCCTATACAGTAACACGGGTCAGAGTCGAGAATGATTACGTCGTATAACGAGGTTTAATCTTTAATCTAAACTATCAAGAAAAAAAAACCGAATAAAGTCTTTTAATAAGAAATTAATCAGAGATAATCCTCGTGTGGCTTAGCCTTGTGTCATGCGTTTTGTTTTATTAAAGAATAAGCAGCGATCCAGAGACATAAAATTACTTTTGCGAAAAGCTTCCATTCTCTTAGATTACCTAAGTCGGGCGATTGGGCAGTTGAACAGAGGGAGTATCTGAAATTCCAAAGAAAACATTGAAGCGATTAACGCTTTTAAAAATTCATCTCCACTCGATATCCATAGCCTCGATATTCGTAGCCTCACGGCCAAACGGCCTCAATTAGATCGAAGCGTAGAAACTTTGGCTCATGAATTATAAAAGTGTGTCGAAGACTAGCAACACCTTACAGCGTTGTCGAAAGATGCTTTTTATGCTCCAGATGTCTATGGATTTCTATTCGATTTCTCCGCGACACGTCTTCTATTGAGATAGAAAAGTTCTGCCCATCCATAAAATCCTTGAATAGAATTACATATTTTAACCCTGCTCCCCCTGTAGAGATCTTCCCAAGGTTCCTAATGTTCTCATATTTAAGTCGAACTTATGCAAACATTACTCACTCTTTTCGTACTTCTTGTCCTCGATTAATAATTCTTCTAGGCTATCCCAACGTGTATCTGCAAGTACAGAAACTATCCACTAAGTAGTTTATCATTTAAAAGGAAAAAAGAAAAGCTCATCCAATTTTCCATTCGGTGCCATAAATGCAAGCAAAAAAGTTTGCGAACAAAATTTCCTTACTTTAAACTCTACAGCATCCGTTCCGAGTGAGTAAGTATTTGCACGACAAAGTAAAGTGTCGATCGATTGGAACGTAGCCCGAGCCGAGGTCCAACTAGTAAAAATATCATATTCGGTCTTCATCGAATATTTTATACCCTTCACCTTTATCCGGCGAAAGACAAAAAAAAAAGTAATACAACTAAATCTTCACGCTCTATAATATGGCGTCGAGAAGGCTGATTCTTTTGATTTTTAATATATATAAGTTTTTGTCGAGCGTGTACCTCTTTCTTTCAAAAAGTTTAGGTCACGTACAAATTTACGGACGGGAAATATTACACAGCTGGGCAGACGGACAGATCGGTAGATCAGTGGACAAGTGGGCAGATGAACAGATTCGCTATATTTAGGTGCATTCAAAATTTGAAACTAGACAAGAATTTTGTTTAATGGGTTTTTTTTTTAAGCTGGTATTCTGCGCATTCTAAAGGCAATGAAAGAAAAAAAATGATATTATGATGCACTATAATAGTGGGTAGGCGTGGTCAATTTTTCTCATTTTTGTGCAGGTACTATAACCTCGTCGATAGCATATACATCGATAGATTCATTTTTGCGGCCAGTAGAATGTTTACAATAGGCATTACATAGGTGGACAGACGGACATGCTTAAATCGATTCAGAATTTAATGTTGTGTGTGATCTCTGCAGCTTCCTGCTAGGTGTTGCAAATGTTGTAAACAAAATGAATATACATACGATTCGTCGAGTGAAATGTCATTAAACGATTACTTATGGAACACTTCACTCTTTGGAATATTTACACTGAAAATAATATTTTAAAATTTTTGAAAATAAGATTAAACGAACTACTCAAGTGCATTCTTGGTTACAATATCTTGGTGCATATCAACCTATTGTCGCAATATTTGTATATGCAATTTTTCAATTCGACTTTTGATTAGATTTGAGATTTCAAAATAAAAAAAAAAAAAAATTAAACAAAAAAAGAAATAAACATAACCCTATTCTATTAATGTATATGTGTTTCGTTGCTAGTGAATCGAATGCAAACCTTTTTGATGTTTCGTAATAACTATAAAAATGAAGATTCCCGTGATGATGTAGGCAACCATACCTACACAAACCTACAAATTAAGTCTACATCTGAATATAGAGCGAAAAGCTTCGGCAAATCCATTTCTCCGTCCGTCTCCTCTCTAAGTTATGCATACGCTTTACACATTTTTCAAATACTTTTTGGGCAAGGGATCGACATAGATGTTGTGCTTATTGCTTATTGTTAAACGGGATGCTTTAAATACAATACAAAAGCAATGCTTAGTATGTTGATAGCAATAATAATAATAATAATAATAATACTAATATAATAACAAGTTTAGTACACCTACAGCAGCAATAACGTTGGATGAACATGAGTGAATGAGTGAACAAGATGAGTGAGTGAGTGCAATTGGAGACCAGAATAGAACGGTCGAACTTACCTTGTCAAAACGTAAATGCTAACAGAATTTCCCAATAGTCCAATAACAAAAACACATGGCACCAATATCCGTTGCACCACATGACGCACTTCAGCTACATCGCGTGCAGTGAACAACATTATGTTGTTCTTTTTGCTGCTGCTGCTGTTATTGCTCCTAGAAAAGCGTCTTCCCACACTAAGATTGTGAGGTTAAAGTGTTGATGAGTATCGATTGTTACTTTCGTTTTCAACTGTTAAAGAGATTTTGTTGTTGCTGTTGTTATGTATTGTTGTATTGTTTTAGTTAACGTTTCAATTTCTAAACATGCTTCGACCATGAAATTTTTGCAACAAAACAATTTCTTTTAATACCTCATCGTTGTAGTAGTCGTTGTCGTTGATAATGCATTTAATGGAACAACAACTACAATAATCCATTGTATTTTAGCATAGCAATAGAAGTGTGGTAACCACTACTACTACAACTACCGCAATCAGCAGCAACACATTTCAACGTTCGATGATGCGTTGTACGAATCGCTGAAATCATAAAGCAACGATGCTGCTCTTTCTGTTTCTGTTGTTGCAATTGCCAATTTTTACTTTTATCGCATGCATACAAAAACATTTCTTTCACTATATTCTCCCTCTCTCGTTACGTTCTCCCAGTCCTTTCCGAAAACTAGTGCGTTTTGCGCTTGAAATAGTTTGCACAACTTTGTAACCGCATTATGGCCATGCTTTTCCAATATGTTATTGTTGTTGCTATTTGCTATTTGCTATTTGCTATATGCGTGTTAATCTAAAAATGAGAGCAACAGAAAAAGAATTTTTGTAAAAACATACATACACGGTCATCATTATTAATCTGAATCATAATCGGGGTTAACAGACAGGGCACATAAATCGTATTATGTTCTTTTTTTCTTTTGTCTTTTTTTTTTTTTTTTAATGTCTTTGAAATTTTTTTTGGAAAATATCCGAACAATTGTTACGCGACCTCACTGTCGATTAACAATTCGCATTTCGCATTTCGCATTTGTTTACATTTCACTTCGATTTGTTTAAGCAACAACAACTGGGGCAAATTATAAATCACTTCACACAAATTATGATTTAATAATCTAATATGTGGAGGTCGTGAAAATATATAGCCACGACAAGCTCCACTTTATGCAATTCATCGTTGTCGATACATCTACCTTTTGGTTGAATTCTCCTCTATCTGAAATGTAGACGACTTTAATTTAAGCTTTAATGCCAATAGATTACTTAAGGCCATTATTCAAAAGCGTAGCTGGCACAACACCTGAATAGACAGACACACACACAGCCCTATGAAATTTCGCGCAGAAATATCCAATGCTTAGGTATGATCTTCGATCTCAGAATAAAAGAAACATTCTTTCATTGGATATATATATATCAACTATCGATAATCGGATAACAAATATTATAGAAATTAAAACAAAGTCGGGCGCTATTGCATCATAATTGAAATGCATTTTTATTATATTATCACAGAGGTCGCCCTAATACTTTATTGCTAATACGAACTATCTGATATTTTTGAATTTTCGAATATCGGTCCTCGACATGTAACCAATGATTAGTTTAAGTGGTCAAGGGAAACTGAACATTCTCTCAGTAATCAATACAGAAATAATCTGCAGTGTTTTAATTGATCCTTATTGGGTTAAGGCTTTTAGCAAAGGCTGGCTAGAGGTTGCTCGAAATATGCCAAATAACTTTCGCGATCTTATCTCAGTCCTAAGGAGAGAAACGCGATACGGCAAGACTTTTTGTAATTTTTGCGTTTGTTAGCCTTACCGAACCTTCACTGGACTGAATTTCGTTTACCGTTATCGCTTGCAAAGGTTTTGCGTATTTGCAATATCTAAGGAGTTCGAGATCTATGACCGATTTAATGCTTTGCATGTCTTCCGATCTGCGAAACATAATTTTTTGTTTTCCACTTGGTACAACAAGTTCGCGCACAAATCAATTTAGTGCTGAGTCAAGACGCATTTATATGACCATCAAATATTAGTACGATTACAAACGGAGCACCAACACAGTCGCAAATGCGTGATTATGAAATCAATGAAAATTGCGGACAAACTTTAGCAGCCATCCAATATTTGTAAAGACGTTGCTGTAATCGGGAATCCGCTATCATATGGACTTCTGTTAAGACATCAAATCCATGATCAGATAATTATCCTTTCAACCGATTTTCTTTTAATACATATCTTGGTTATTTTTTGTTTTGTCCATTTTGAAATTTTGCTACCGTCAACGGAAATACGAAGTGCGTTTAAAGGAAAAATCGAAGAAAGAAAGACTGATCCATAAAAAAAAAACTGGTTGATTAGAAGAGAGAGAGAGAGAGATGACCCTGAATTTTTTTTAACGCAATAGTTACTGTGTTCAAGTTCATAGTGTCATTTCGGATTTTTTTTTGTTTTTTTGTTGTTTTTGTTTTTTTTTTTTTTGAAATAAAAATAAGCAATAAAAACGTTGTAACATTAATGTTAAATTCATAGTCATGCGTATGGGTGTTTGCGTACGTTTGCTTAAACCTTAGTTCGCATCATGAACGTATTCGCTCAACCTGCAATATTTCGCCCGTATATGTAAATGTATATGAGTTAAAAGTAAACGTTCATTGTTTGACTAAATGTTGCAATTTTCTTATGCTCTGAGGGCTAAAGGAAATACGATAACATCTATATATAGTAAGTAAGAAAAAATATTGAAGCGTACGTACGTACGTAAAATGCTGCAGGCTTTCGTATGAATAAGGTTGCACACGAAAAATTTACTGCATTCAAACACGCAAACGTACGTATAAATGTGTTCATAGAAGAAAGGAATAAGTTCAAAAGTGCTTTATAAACATCACGTAGACAAGAAAGAACAATAGATGAACAACAAAGGGCTTATAGGCATTTAAACCGAAATTGTGATACCTATCATTAATAATCTGATTTTTAGTAAGATTTTATATAGTCAAAGAAACGCGTTCTCCACCAACAAGCAAGCTAACTAACTCTAACTCTTCACTTAATCGATCAGGGATCAAATGACCTGCTAGGGTCTAAGCCTATGATAAGTATATCATATCAAAAGCCTAGGCATACTTTATAAAGATCTAAGCAAAGATAAGTGGATGCCGGCTAAATTCCTAAACTTCTTTGACTGCAAATTCCGTCAGATAATCTAATGTAACTTATAAAGGTCATCTGTTGAAATTATTGTTCAAGCACAATAACAAAGGATTTCAACCGTTTAAACCGTTCAACGGGTAGAAAGGCATTATTATTTCTTAATTACACAGTGGAGGACATGCAAGACGTACACAACCTTTATAAGGCAGCAGTCGCAGGAACTGTTCGAACCCGGATAGGGTTGAATTCCTTAAGTAATTATTTTACTCTGTAACCTCTTAGGGCAATCTATAGATCTATAATGAATGAATGAATGATTAACGTCTACTTTATACAGATCGACTGAGAAGCGGCTCAAATTGAATCCCGCATGAATATACTCTGCTCTTGTCCTGCTATACCGGTGAAGTTCATCAGGTCTTTAGTACTGCGTTCGTCCGCTAATCATCTGTCTTGAATTTGTGCATTCAGTTTACTCAAACAATTTCCACACTCGATCACTATGAACTTTTGCTAAGAAAATATTTGCATTAGTTTAACATCGGTACCGCCTTTTTGCTCTCCCGCTACTCGTAATCCCCTTGATGAAGAGCGCATATAATTTATCTGAATTTTTGTATTTTTCGTATATTTTTGAGTGTTACAAAAATAATCGCAAGCGTTAAAAACGCAACACTAGACGTTTGTTCATCTGAATTGATCGTACTATATCTAAGATCGCAACTAGAACTCTACCAGATTTAGAACTTTTCATTTCAATTTTTTTCAAGTGTAAAGACTTAAAAAGCATATAAGCCAACCAATCGAAATTCGTTAATCGATTCATTATATCTTTTTGGGTTTTCTTACATGTTTCTTGTACTTTATCTTTTCATATAGTGACATAAATTAATCTCTTGGGATTTTTTTTTTTTTTTTTTTTTTT